TCAGATAAAGTGATAATCCCAGTTTTGTTCTTTTTGCTTAGGATTGCTTTGGCTGTTCAGGATCTTTTATTGGTTTGATATGAATTTTAGGATTACTTTTTCTAATTCTGTGAAAAAATGACATTGGTATTTTGATAGGAATTGCATACAGATGAGTGCCACCACATCCGGCTAAATTTTCTATTTTTTGTAGAGACGGGGTGTTTCTCTTGCTCAGGCTGATCTTGAACTCCTGAGCTCAAGCAATCCACTTGCCTTCGCCTCCTAGAATGCTAGAATTACAGGGATGAGCCACTGGGCCCAGCCTCAGTACTGGTATATTAACACTGATTAGTACTGATATAGTAACAATATTGAGTCTTCCAATCTATGAACATGTCTTTTCATTTATTTATGTCTTCTTTAATTTCTATCTACAATGTTTTGTCATTTTTCAGTGCATTAGTCATTAGTATCTTTAGTTAAGCTAATTCCTAGGTGTTTTATTTTTTTGCTGCTATTGTAAATGGAAGTTTTTTCGAATCTCCTTTTGGATTGTTCATTGTTAGTGTATAGAAATGCAATAGATTTTTGTGTGTTGACTTTGTATCCTGCTACTTCACTGAATTCATTTATTAGTTGTAGTAGACTTTTTAAAATAATTAATTATATTATTATTTATTGTGTATTATAAGATTATACAATTACTAAGGTTATATAATTTCTTTTAAATACAGCCTTTTCTAAGTATCATAGTTTATGGTATTTTTTTAAATTTCAGCATATTATGGGGATACAAATGTTAAGTTATGTACATTGCCCTTGCCTCCCCTCCCTCCTCGAGTCAGAGCTTCAAGCGTGTCCATCCCCCAGACGGTGCACATCGCACTCACTATGTTTGTAAATACCCATCGCTTCCTTCCCCTCCCACCTGCCCAACACCTGATAATTGTTTTTTTGTTTGTTTGTTTTGTTTTAACATTTTGGTTACATTTTATATCTTTGCCTCTCCTTAGCAAGGGTTAGGGGCATGCCCTTCCCCTCCACAATGCCTACCACATCCCTCAGATGTGGGACTACACCCCCAAACCCCAAATCCCTGGTGAACACCACTGCCCTTTGAGCACCATAGTGTTAATCAGTCAGTACCAATTTGATGCTGAGTACATGTGGAGCCCATTATCCTGATCTTGTGTTACCTCACTTTGGATAATGGGTTTAAGCTCCATCCAGGATAATATAAGCGGTGCTAGCTCGCTGTTGTTTCTTAGAATGAGTACTATTCTATTATAAACATATACCAAATTTTAATAATCCACTCATGAATTGACAGACACTTGAGTTGTTTCCACATCCTTGCAATAGTAAATTGTGCTGCCATGAACATTTGGGTCTTTATAATAGATGTCAGATGTCTTTATAATAGAATGTCTTACGTTCTTTTGGGTAGATGCCTAATAATGCTATTGCTGGGTCAAATGGTATTTCTATTTTTAGCTCTTTGAGATATCTCCAAATTCTTTCCCACAAAGGTTGCAGTAATTTGCAGTCCCACCAGCAGCATAAGAGTGCTCCACATCCTAACCAACATTTATTGTTTTGGGATTTTTTGATACAGGCCAATCTCACTGGGGTTAGGTGATATCTCCTTGTGGTTTTGATTTGGATTTCTCTAATGATTAGCGATGTTGAGCATTTTTTTTATATGTTTGCTGGCCATTATTCTGTCTTTAGAAAAGTTTCTGTTCATTTCTGTTGCCCATTTCTTGATGGGGTTGTTTGATTTTTTCCTGTTAATTCTTTTGAGCTCTAGATAGATTCTTGTTATCAGACCTTTATCGGAAGTGTAGAGAGCAAATATTTTCTCCCATTCTGTAGGTTGTCCATTTGCTCTAATGATAGTTTCCTTGGCTGTGCAGAAGCTTTTAAATTTCATCAGATCCCATTTGTTTATTTTTGTTGCTGCAGTGATTGCTTTGGGAGTCTTCTTCAAGAATTATTTGCCTAGGCCAATGTTTGAAGCGGTTTTCCCAACATCTTTTTCTAGCATTCTTAAGGTTTCATGCCTTACATTTAAGTCTGTTATCCATCTTGAGTGGATTTTTGAGAGGCGAGAGGTAGGGATCCTGATTCATTCTTCTGCATGTAGCTAGAACTTCTGGTAGTATACTGGAATAAAATGATGAAAGTAGGCATCCTTTTCTTGTTCTTAATATTAGAGGGAAAGTTCTCAGTCTTTCACCATTGATTACAATGTTACCTGTGCATTTTTGGACTTTATTATATTTAGGGAGTTTCCTTCTATTCCTTGTTTATTGAATGTTTTTATCGTGAAAGTATGTTAAAATTTGTCAAATGCTTCTTCTGCCTCACTTGAGATAATCATGTGGTTCCCCCCTCCTTCTTCTATTAACATTGTGTATTACATTTGTTGATTACTTTCAACCACTGTTATAATTCTCACTTTGTCAAAATGTATAATCTTTTAATATGCTGTGGAATTTGGTTTGCTAGTATTTTGTCAAGCATTTTTTGCATCTATATTTATAAGGGATGTTGACCCGTAGCCTTTTCTTATTGTAGTGTTTATATCTGGCTTTTGGTATTAAGGTAACGTTGGCTTTCTAGAATGAATTAGGAAATTTTTATTCTTCTTCAATTTTTTGGAAAAGTTTGAGAATATTGGTGTTAATTCTTCTTCAAATATTTACTTGAATTCACCAATGAAGTCACCTTGTCCAGGGCTTTGCTTTGTTGGGAGGTTTGGTTTTGGATTACTGATTCATTCTCCTAAATGTTTGTTAATTCTATTGATGTTTTCAAAGAACCAATATTTTGTTTTATTGATTTTTCTCCATCCAGTTTATTTATTTGTGATTTAATCTTTTTATTTTTTCCATTAACTTTGGGGTATTTTGCTCTAATTTTCTAGTTCTCTAAGTTGTAATGTTCAGTTATTGATTTGAGATATTTCTTCTTTTTTAATATATGCATTTATAGCAATAAATTTCTCTCTCTGCACTGCTTTCACTTCATCCCATGAGTTTTAATATGTTCTGTTTTCATTTTCATTCATCTCAAGGTATTTTCTGATTTCTCCTGTGATTTCTTATTTGATCCATTGTTTTTTAAAGAGTGTGTTGGTTGTTTAATTTGTACATGTTTGTGAATTTTCCTTTCATTTGTCAATATCTAATTTCATTTCATTGTAATCAGAAAAGATACTTTGTATTATTTCATTTGATCTTTTAAATTTGTTAAGTCTTAGTTTGTGGTCTGTGTAGTTTATCATGGAGAATGTTTCATGCACACAGGAGAAAAATGGATATTCCATGGTTGTTGGATGGAGTTTTCTGCATATGTCTATTGAGTCTAACTGGTTTATACTGCTGACACTGTGTTCCATGAATAAGCAAATGGGTGGCTGGTTATTTAACTTTGGCCTTTGAGCTGCAGGTCCACTCTTCCGTACTCTGTTCTCTGAGGCCAAACCACAAATATAATTACTTATAAAGGAAATAGCCAGGCTCACCACAAATATAATTACTGCTGTAAGTTCCAGAATGCCCCAAGTGCACATGACCATAGGCGCTATAATGTGATAGGCTCCCACTTACCCTTACTTAGCGTTCAAGCACTGGCCATGGGTTACCAGTTAAACCAGCGGAGCAGGGAATGCTGACCCCAATAGAGCACGTGGACACAGAGAAGGCAAAGGGAAAGTAGGAAGTTTGTTAGAGTTATCTGAACCCTTCCAGATGTTCTTATATGGGGCATTTGGTGCTACCGCCTGTGAGAGGTAAATCTTCTTTAGCCCCTGATACACCTCTGGCAGGATGGGGGTTTTGTTAAACCCAAGTTGGCAGATCTTCTGTCTCGTTAAGGGAATTCTTGGTTGCACAAGCCACTTTCTTCCTCAAACTAAGCCTCTCTCCTTATTAGATGCCATAGGTGTCTACACAGCTTTACCTCAGAACTTTACCACAATCGAAATGGCCAGCAAGGCAAAATACTGATGTGTGGTGAGAGCAGACTGGTCACAGTCATTATCAAATGTGCTCCTATGATGAAATAGGATAGCTTTGATCAGTCTTCACAAGTCTTGGATTCCCTTCATCCTTAACCCCCTACTTCCAATCAATTAACGAGTCCTATCTACTCTACCAAATGCCACCAAAATCTATCTTCCATCCATTTGCCTTCAACTCCGCCACCACCACCCTTGGCAAACTACCATTCTCTCTCATGCTTACTGCTGCCATAGTTTCCTAACTGGTCTTCCTGCTTCCACTCTTGCCCCCTCTAATCTATTCATTCTCTATATAGTAGATGCAAAAATTTCTTACAATGTAATTTACCTCATGTCTCACCTCTGGTGAAAGCCCTTCAAAGGCCACTCCCTGAAATTAAAAACAAGTCTAAATTTCTGATTAGGCTCAAATGAGTGATGAATCTGTAAATCATTAAGACATTTCCCATCCAGGCTTACCAAGAATGATTAGCACCAGGAAACTATGTAGAATATCTTTATAATATTCCTAATGAAGGCTTTCTCATCCAAGACTCAAAACCCGGAAACCATGAAGAAAAATTTATATGTCTATCTTTATGAAAATTTAAGAGTTCCATATGGTAACAGACATTATAAATACAATTTTTTAAAAAAGTAAAAGAATGGCCTGTAATCCTAGCACTCTGAGAGGCTAAGGTGGGCAGATCGCTCAAGGTCAGGAGTTTGAAACCGGCCTGAGCAAGAGCGAGACCCCATCTCTACTATAAATAGAAAGAAATTAATTGACCAACTAAAAATATATAGAAAAAAATTAGCTGGACATGGTGGCGCATGCCTGTAGTCCCAGCTACTCGGGAGGCTGAGGCAGTAGGACCACTTGAGCCCAGGAGTTTGAGGTTGCTGTGAGCTAGGTTGATGTCACAGCACTCTAGTCTGGGCAACAGAGTGAGACTCTGACTCAAAAAAAGGTAAAAGAATGGAAAAAATTACAAAGAAAAGTTATAATTAAAGATTGTTATCCACAATATATAAAGAACTCATATGAATCAATAAGAAAAAGACAACTTCATAGAAGTTCACCAACATTGTACAGACAACTCACAGAGAACAAAACAAAGATAAACATAAATGGGCAATAAACATGTTTTTAAAATTACAAATAAATGTCCAATAAGGAAAATAGTTAAATACATTTTTAATGTAATACAGCCATATTACAGAATACCATGAAGCCATGATAACAAATGAGATGGGTTTTTATTAAGTGAAAAAAAGCAATAACAATATAGATATGATCCCACCTATAAGAATACATACATATATATGAACTTTGGTATAGGAAAAAGTCTGAAAGAACACACACCAAATTATTCTGTTTTTAGGAAATGCAGTAGGATTGGGATGTGAGCTACATAAAGTGGGATTTAAATTTTTTACTCTACAAGTTGTCTAGTGTTGGAATTTTTTTACAGTGAGCATATAATCACCTATTACTTTTGTAATTCTGAAAACTATTTTTAAGAACAACAGAAAATATATGGAAGTCACCTAGCAAAGTGCTGGGTATAGAACACTAATAGTAGGTAAAATCAAACAGAAAAGATGTGACAATTTCCCAAAGTCATATAGAAACTGATCAAGGAGATGCCCTGTGTTACCTAGAAATGTTTCTGGATAATGTGCAGCTTCACAGAGACCCCTATCTCTCCTACCTCCAACCCTCCCACCACATTTTGATCCCTTTCCATTTACTTGGACCATTAGCTGTACATTTAACTTAAAAACAAAACATATTTAATCATCGTGCCCTGGGATCTACCATTCAGGGAGTTTCTTCAGGTTCAAATAGAGCCCATTCTTGGGTTTGAGGATAATATGGCTGGAGAAGAGATGAGGCCTGGTGGGGTCTGCAGTCACTTGGAAGCGCAGCAAAATCAAGGCAATGGCCACCTTTAACTCAACCATGGCAAACTGCTGCCCGATGCAGTTCCTGCAGACACCAAGAGGAAGAAAGTGATGTTTGAAGAAATGACACTTCTGCTTATTCTTTAACTACTAGAATAACAAGCCTGAAGTACACAGTAAAGCAATGTTTTTGCACTAAATGCCATTGAAACGTTGGACTTTGGACTTACACTGCTTCCTGCATGAATGTGAGCTGGGGGGCTCCAACGTGATGCCTTCTCTATAACAAAGTTGCAGCTGAAATAACTCATGGAATTGTCTCCTGCCTTGGAGGCAGACTGCATTGAGCACATGAGCAACAGCTCACATCATGGGATGGCTCTCAGGGGCATGGCTATGAGGATGTGACAGAGAATGAGGTTGTTCTCTGTGAAACGAACTGACCCTTTAGGGGTTCAAATAGGCACCAAGATCTACTTCATGGTCAGGGGAGAAGATGGGGTTCCATGGAAGAATTCATAGGGTGGGGAGGGGTTAAAAGGAGTAAGCTATTCCTAAGTAAACATTTTTGTGTATTTTCAACAACTTCAAATTGTCCCCACCTTGGTCCAGCTGAGAATGGTAAATAGGCATGGGGGTGTCTCCGATCAGAATTCTCCGGAGAGAACCTCAAGGGGTCAAAGACCTGAAATGAGAGGACAATTCCACTACTATCCCCCAAACAACATTAACATGACAACCCCATGACCCACCCCTAAACAACATTAACATATTTCTTAAGTTACTACTTAGCATATTGATCAATAGAAATATAATGTGGACCACATATGTAATTTAAAATGTTCTGGTAACCATATTTTTAAAAAGTGAAACTAATTTTAGTAATGGATTTTATTTAACCAAAAATTATCATTACAACATGTAATCAATATAAATAATTTTTAAGGAGATATTTCACATTTGGGGGATATCTTATCTTCAAAATCCACTGTATACTGGGTAAGGGTATACTGTACACTGGTAATAAGGATAATTACAGCACATCTTACTTCCAACTGGCCACATTGTATGTGCTCAGTAGCCACATGTGGCTAATGGCTGCTACACCGGACAGTGTACCTGTAGACCTGCAGACCTTGTCTGGCTTCCCAACTGACTGGTTTGCTACCCAGACTTGGAGGAAGCAAAAATACTATGACAAGTGGTATTATTTTCGGTTTGCAAATAAGAGTGCACCCGCTTAGAAGTCAAGCAAAACGATTATGTGGTCAATTGTTACCAAGATAGGGAGTCCACCTTCCTATTACTTGTAATAAATCTTAAAACATTAGCAGCTTATGTGAAAGAGAGCACCAGTACCTGTGATGTTTTGAGAGGACAGACAATTTTACGTTTCGGGGGAATTTTATCTTTATTTTTGTTTTCTTTGTGTCATTTGCTTTAACTATAGAGCCATTTCCATGCTTAGCTACCAAAATGTGAATTGCACAGCATTAGTTCTTTGAAGTATTTATATATAAGAGAGTCATACCTTTGGATTTTTCCAGACTGCAGGGTTGTGGTGAAGACCCCAAATATAGAGACTCACGGTTATACCTGAGAAAGTAGGGAAATAAAAGAGATTTCAGGAGAAAGGCCAAATTGTGGACTGCTGTTATACTGCTTTTCAGTTCTTCTTGAAGGGAAGAGCTAGCTTCTGGCAGAGCTCTGTGTGCTGTGGCTGAAGTCACCAGTGGCTTGGGTTGACACCTTAGTTTTCAAAGCAATAATTTACTTAATTAATGATTCCATATTAAGGAGCTACTGGTATTATATCAAAGTGATAAACTGTGCTTATATTTCCTGCTATGCTTGGAAATTACTTAAATATATGTTAAATGATTATTGAACACCTACTGGCGACAGTTTGGGTACATAAGAATAGAACTGTAATTTCATCATGCAGATCCAGTGACAAACTTCTGCTGGTGCCGTTCATACATGGAAGGTGGGAAATTTTGGCAATTATCCATATGGTTGGGGATTGAAAAAATAAAGACAAAGGAGAGAGAATTTGAGGATTATTTGGTTACCAGAAATAATTCTAATAACTTAATTCTGGATCTGTCAACAAGGTTAGTGACAGGCTATAGCTGTTTACAAAAATCCTGCTGGCTTGTTTACCAAGGCATGAATTAATAGAACATCGACGCAGATAAGTGAAAGAGTGTCTCACATGACCCCTCTGCTTTCCACAAGCCCTGCTCAGAAACCCGTGCTGTTTTGAAGACCCTAGGTTCCAGGTTCAGGGCCTCTGTACAAGTTCTAGCTCTGCTCATATCAGTTAACCCCACCTGCACATTGAGGTTCCCCTGGTGGGTTTTTGGCTACATTGAAAGTGTTTAGAAACTATAAATCACTGTTTAAGTGTCTGTTCAGGTCACTTTCCAAGAGGAAAAAATGAGATAATGTGTTTGAAGGCTCCATATAAACTATTAAATGTTGTACATTTCTAAGGGTGATATTGTGATGAGGAGGCCAAAGATGCCTCTTGGTCTGTCAGACAGAGCTAAAGGTGCTCATCTTCCATGAAGTTTCATCTGGGTCTCAAACTCAGGCAAAGAAAGATTATCTCAGAAATAATGTCCCACAATGGAAGAAACCCTGGGATGGGATTCCAGAGACATGGGTTCTGGGCTTAGCTTTGCTGCAACTGGCTATGTGCCTTTGGGAAAGTCGCTGAAATTCAGATCTGATTAAGATATTATCCTCTGAGCTCTTAATCGGTGTCCAACCCTAAGCCAGATGTCCTTAGGATTATTTTTGTCTTCCCCGAATGATAAGAAATCCACCAATCTTTGTCACTGCATGGTACCCTGGATCCCACAGTCTCTAGGAACTGCTTAGGAAAAGAATGCAAAGACCTGCAGGCAGTGAGCATCCATCTGGGAAGGTAAGGGGCTTGCTGAGTTTTCTGGAAATAGTTGGGATTGCAGGAATCAATCGTAACGTCTCCTTGATGCACATCGTGGTGTACGACATCTCACCCAGATGGTCCCTGTGAGGATGAGGGAGGTAGGGGACTCAGACATCATATCCAGTTTGTAAATATCAACTTTTTCTATTTGATGTTTATTCCTGGTAATTATTACCCTCAGATTAAGGCTATTTTGGCATTGGTTTACATAACAGAATGTTGAACTGTACTCTTTCTACATCAAGTTCAGCTGAGGTCCCAGAGGCAGAGGAACCAAACAGATTTTGAATATCCTCATTACAAAGTGAGGTGCCAACCTACCAGTAAAACATGTGCTAAGGAGATTTCTGAAAACCAGTTTGCAAATCCATAGTTTATCATATAAAGTAAACATGTATAAGAAATGGATAAGGATTGAAGAGAGGAGGTTTAAGAATTTTGAGAGAGAGAAAAAAATCCTTTAAAAAGAATTGATGGAATGCCAGAGTGCCCTGCAGAATAGAGGCAGGTATTCCCCCATCATAAAGAGTGGGAGGCTCTAGGAGGGTCACTTAGATCTGCGGTCCCCAACCCCTCCAGACTGCGGACCAGTACCGGTCTGTGGCCTATTAGGAGCTGGGCTGCACAGCAGGAGCTGAGCAGTGGGCAAGCAAGGCTTCATCTGTATTTACAGCTGCCCCCCATCACTCACATCACCGCCTGAGCTCTGCCTACTGTCAGATCAGTGGTGGTGTTAGATTCTCATAGGAGCATGAACCCTACGGTAAATTGCATATGTGAGGGATCTAGGCTGCACACTCCTTATGAGAATCTAATGCCTGATGATCTGAGTGGAGCTGAGGCGGTGATGCTAGTGCTGGGGAGCAGCTGCCAATACAGATTATCACTACCAGAGAGGTCTGGCTACACAATACATGTGATGCCCTTGACTCATCCTGAAACCATCTCCCCCTGCCACTCCAGGTCCATGGAAAAATTGTCTTCCATGAAACCAGTCCCTGGTGCCGAAAAGTTTAGGTACCACTGACCTAGATGATCTGGCCTATGCTCTCTGGAGTTGGAGGAGTACAGAACTGATGTGAAAGGCTGTGACTCAGAACAGAAAGAGAGGCAGGAAAAAGCGGCAAGGCCAGAATGTGCAAGTGTGCCCTATGGACCAGTGAACTGGCAAGAGGGAGAGCTCTTGGATTAGTTTGAAAATAACTCTGCCTAAAGATAAAAATTCCCTTGTCCCCTGAATTCCCACTGGAAAGTTCTAGTGAGGGAGTCTCCCAGAAATCCACAGATGCTTGAGAGAAATGGAAGCATTGAACATCCACCAAGCCCTTTGGTATGATCACAATATTACTAGCCCTTTTTTCCTTATCCCCTCTCCTCCCAGAACCATTTCTGGAAGGGTCAGAAACAGCAGCTACTGAGCATAGAAGGAGCTGCTCAGTAAGAATAAGCCAACCACAAACTCCTCACCCACTGATGGCTTCCAGGCCCAAAGAAGTACCAAACTGGGAGGGAGAAAAAAGCTCCAAGTGGATCAGTATTTGAAAATGTCATTACTACACTGGGCCAGACAGTTTAATTACTGACATGAAATTGTACTTGTGATTTAAACAAATGGGAACTCTCTGAGACATACTCATGATTTTGCACCAGAGATGAAAAGAACTTGCCCCACACAGCAAGTTTAAAGTGTCAATGAGAGAATAATAAGTTTGTTTTTTATTTGCATCCTAGCTAGTCACATTGGTTCAATAAAATAACTGCACATATTTAGTCTATTTGACTTATTGTATTTTATATGCTTTTCTGATTTACTTATTTTGAAAGCAGGCTTTGGCCATTAGGTAATGTGAAATTTTAATTTTGAACTCTTTTTTCCTCAAGCTCAGGATAAAAAAGAATAATTCTGCTTACCCTGGCAGTTTGTTTAATTAAAAAAAACTCCAACTTTGTCCACCTCAATTATGAAGCAAAAAGAAGAGAGGAATTTTAACTCAATGCAGAAATGGGCTGACAGGAAGCTAAATATAGAAGTTAAACAACTTTCCAGCTTTCCCAGAAATTGCTCTTGGTAGTACAGTTTTATTACTTGTCTAGAAGAATTATAAATTATTATAATGCCACATTCAAATTTCATTAAATACAACTTTAAGTATATATTATGGAGTAAAAATATTTTATTCTCTATAATATTATTACCATTGCTCTTATTAAAATAAAAGATAGTCAACGGATCATCTGGACATTATTTTCTCACCTGGAAGAGATTTCTTTATTGTTTTCACATTTAAGCCAAGCGAGAATGAGAAAAGTTAATATCTGAGTTGTATAAATATCCACTCTAATCAAGGTTAAAGTTTCTAATTTATGTTGGGAGGTGATATGCAATGTTTCCAAATCAGCAAGATGGGAGAATAGGAGGTACCTCACTTGAATCTCCTCACAGCAACAAAAATTTTATAGCCATCCACATACAAAAGTGCCTTTGTGGGAGCCTTGGGATTCAAGTAGGAGTATGTGAAACCCCAGTGGAGCACAATGTCTAGGAGAGTTTTTTTGAGCACATAGATCTATACCCAGGTGGAAGACTCACTAAATGTGGTCCTAGCTCCAGACGTTGAAATGGTCCTACTCCCCTGCAGGCTCAACTATAGTCCTGTTTGTACTTAGTCCTACTACCAAATTCATTGGCCAAGGGCCTGAAAGGAACCAAGCATACCAGTTCCTTACGAGACAACCCTGCCCACCTTGGTCTCAGCTGTGGACCCAGAAATGCCCCTTTAACTCAGCTCCAGCCCCTTTCAGCTGTGGTCTGCAATCAGTCCTGCTCATACAAGGACCCAGAGGGAGACAGATCTGTCTACACTTGGCAATACTGATTCCACAGTAGAACCTGAAACAGCCCTGAATCTTGGCCCCAGCTCCTCTCAGCTATGGTCTAAGAGCAATTCTGTCTGGCCAGAAACATGCTGGGAGACATGCCTATCTGTGTCCTTGGGGCAGACTTGCCAACCTCAGTCTGAAAGCAGATCCTGAAATGGCCCTGAAAAGCAACTCCTGTCTCCCTTTTCAGCTGTGGCCTGAGAGCAGACAGGAACCTACAAGAAGACACACCCCCCCCAGTGTTCAAAATCCCACACCTGCCACTGAGGTTAGTGGCTCAATCATGAAGCAGGCTCAATCATGAAGAAGACAGAATCAGGGAACTCAAAGACAGGTCATTTGCTATTAGATTATTAGAAGAACAAAAAGAAACAAGAATCAAAAACAGTGATGAAAGCACAAAGGACTTACGGGACATCATCAAATGTACACATATGCAAATTATGGGAATTCCAGAAAGAGTAGAGAAAGAGAAAGGGGCAAAAATATTATTTAGAAAAATGTTAGCTGAAAACGTTTCAAATATTAGGAGGGATATGAACATCCAGATTTATGAAGCTCAAAGGATTCCAAACAAGAAAAGCCCAAAGAAAAGTAAACCAAGGTAAATTATAATCAAATTGTTAAAAGTCAAAGACAAAGAGAGAATCTTGAAAGCAATAAGAGAGGAGACTTATAACATACAAAGAAACCACCTCATAAGGCCATGAGCAGAATTCTTAACAGAAATCTTGCAAACCAGGAGGGAGTGGGATGATACGCTCAAAGTGTTGAAAGAAAAAAAACTGACAAATAACCTGGCAAAGTTATCTTTCAAAATGAAGGAGAAATCAAGACTTTCCCGAACAAAAGTTGAGTGTGTTCATGACCTCTAGACCTGCCTTATAAAAAATGCTAGTGGGAGTTCTCCAAATTGAAATGAAAAATGCTAATTAACAACATGAAAATTGAAAGTTAAAAATTCACTGGTAAAGGCAAATACATAGTTAAATTCAGAATACCCTAATAATGTAGTAGTGATATGTATATCACTTATATCTCTAGTATAAAGGGTAAAAGACAAAACTATTAAAAAAAACTATAGCTATAATAATATGTTAAGGAACATATAATATTAAAAAGATATAAATCATGATATTAAAGACAAAATATGGGGGTAGCAAAGTAAAAGTGTAGAGTTTTTTAAGTGATGAAAGTTAAGCTGTTATCAGTTTAAAATAGCCTGTTATAACTATGATTTATGCAAGCCTCATAGAAACCACAAAGCAAAAACCTGTGGTGGGCACACAAAAGATAAAAAGTAAGGAATCAAAGTATACCACTAGAGAAAAGCACCTAATCACAAAAGAAAACAAGAGAGGAAGAAAGGAACAAAAGATCTTTAAACAGCCGGGCGCGGTGGCTCACGCCTGTAATCCTAGCACTTTGGGAGGCCGAGGCGGGCGGATTGCTCAAGGTCAGAAGTTCGAAACCAGCCTGAGCAAGAGCGAGACCCCGTCTCTACCAAAAATAGAAAGAAATTAATTGACCAACTAAAAATATATATATACAAAAAATTAGCCGGGCATGGTGGCGCATGCCTGTAGTCCCAGCTACTCGGGAGGCTGAGGCAGAAGGATCGCTGAGCCCCGGAGATTGAGGTTGCTGTGAGCTAGGCTGATGCCACGGCACTCACTCTAGCCTGGGCAACAAAGTGAGACTCTGTCTCAAAAAAAAAAAAAAAAAAAAAAAAACAACAACAAAAAAAACCAAAGATCTTTAAACAACAAGAAAACAATGAACAAAATGGCATTAGTAAGTTCTTACCTATCAATAATTGCCTTGACTATAAATGAATTGTTATCTATTCACAGAGTGACAGAATGGGTTAAAAAAAAAACCCAAGATCTAACTATATGCTGCCTACAGATACTCATTTCACCTTTAAGGACACAAATAGACTGAAAGTGAAGGGCTGAAAGAAGATATTCCATGCAAATGGAAACCAAAAGAGAGCAAGCTGACAAGCTGACAAGCTGTACTTATAGTAGACAATAGACTTTAAGTAAAAACTATAAAAAGAGTACAGAAGGCAATTATACAACAGCAAAGGGGTCAATTCATCAGGAAGATATAATAATTGTGAATATATATGCACTCAACATGGGAACACCTAAATATATTAAGCAAAAATTAGCAGATCTGAAGGGACAAATAGCAAT